TGTAATCATGTCAAAGCCAAAACTGTTAATGTTTTTTTGTTTTTTTTAGGGGGTCAGCATGTTTAAAGTTTTAAAATATAATGGGTTTTTTTTTTTTGGGGGGGGGGGGGTCATCCACTTTTTTTTATTTGATAGGGGGTGGGTCAACTGAGATTTACAGCTGGCAAAATGGAATCTGCCGACCCCCCCTAGGCCGAAGTAACTGACCAATCCCTAACACAAAAATCTTTTGTCTTCTACCGACTTCCTGTTCCGGTCCGTCTTTGAGAACGCAAATTTTTCAGTTTGTGCGTACCGTCGACTCGTAGGAAAACTTGAAAAGTGCGCTTGACTCGACTAGCAGAATGCTTTCATTCGACTTTTGGCGACTCGTAGGAAATCTCGCAAAGTGCCCTGACTCGACTAGCAGAATGCCTTCATTCGACTTTTGGCGACTCGCAGGACACATCGCAAAGTGCCTCTAGTTATACCACAGTCTCTCCACAACGTGGTTATACCCATACATACCTCTCTCACTGGATTGTTTTTGTCATGTTGAGAAACTTTCGGAAGCGCGGACAATTCATGACCATAAGTACAACTTGAAATTGAAACAAACTAGAAAATATTTATAGAAGATAATATTTGGTAATCGTAACTATTAAAAATGGCTCTTTATCGATAGCATAGAAGAAAATGTTATAGCAAATATTTGTTGGTTTCAAGCTGCGCCCCGTCCAAAAATTGCATAATTTCATGATTCAAGATATTGGTAAATGTATTAATATATTATTTCCAGAAATTGATAGTTAAGTTTACCCAAAATTTCTCCGTGCATAAAATGAATAAACATCACTTGAGTAGGCAAGGCATTGAAATACCTCTGTTATGGCAGTCTGTCACAAATATACACCGAATACTTTTATTGCATTGGTATTACAAATAGATTATCTTTTTCTTTCTTGCATTCAGAATGCGTCTTTTGTACAATTCACACATTCGAACTGTGGCGGCACCAAGGAGTCAGACAAATTACGCCACCAACGGTTTTAACTCTTATCGCCAAACCTATAATTATATGCGACCATAGAAAACGGAATGGAGTTACCAACAGATATTTCTGAAATTGAGAAAAAAAAGCTAATATTGTTTGAAGATTGTGAAAAGAAATGGAGAAAATCGACTTTGTAATAATAACAACCTTTATTGATATCGTATCCCTTCTGGGATCTAGATTAGAATACAATAAGGATATAAGGAACAATAAAATACATAAGTAATAATAATAATAATAAAAAAGAAAAATAGTAATACTGTGAAAATATTATTATATAATTATTTTTTTGGTGTTATTTTGAGGCAGCTGGTAAATTGCTTTTCATGAAATTCTCTCTTTTATTGAAACAGTCGCTGATAAACTTGGCAATTGCTTGGACGGTTTCAGAATTTTTGTTATTGAGAAGTGCTTTCAGATTACCGGATAAGTTTACGTTTTCAAACAAAGCATCTCTTTCAAATTTGTACTGGTTACAATTGAAGAGGAAGTGTTCTTCATCTTCAATTTCATTGGAGTCACAGACAGGGCATGTTCTATTTAAGACATCTATGTTGTGATATCGCCCAACTTCAATCTGAAGTATGTGGGCACTTATCCACAGTTTAGTCATAGATGATCTGTGGATGGGGTTTTTAATAATTTCAAGGTATTTTTCAAGTGCAAAATCAGTTTTCAGCTGTCTGTAGGTACGAAGTTTATTTTTGTGATTAGTGCCTTTATTGTCATTATGCATTGTTTCTGTGCAGTGTTTCTCAAACATATTTTTTAGTTTTTTTTGTAGCTAATGGGATAATACTGGTTTTTTGTATCAAGTTTCATTAAAGTATCTGTTTTTTTTAAAAAAAAATAAGTGTCGTGCATTCACTTTCAGGGATTTAGGTTTTTGTTTGAGAGGAATAATTGTTTTCCAATTTCTTTATTTCGTGTCTGTTGTGAAGATGGAGACTGATTTCTTGACCACCTAGTCCTTAGCATCATTTCCCCCCAGTTTCCAAATGCTGCACACTGTGACGTTATTCAGTCTGTTCACAATAAATGTTGCACACAAAGTAAGCATTTAAGCAAATAACGCCGAATAAACGGCAAGGTAAAGACTACGTCTAATTATAGTAAACACGTACTTGCGTGCGTGACTCGAACCGGCACTCACGTACGGCACCTAATCGCCTAGCTTCATGCCACTACACGTCTTCCCCTCGGCCACCCCCAAAAAAGGATGCTTAATAACCGAGCTTATTACGTGCAGAGAACATGAAACCCGTCCACGCGTGGCCAGAATGCGGCAAAGGCCTTCAGATCTGGCTGTAGTAGGATGGTGAAAGTAATGAAATGTTGCACACAGATCAGTACCAGGTTGGGATCCACTGTGATAATATTAAATTGTTGTTAACAACAGAACACATGCATGTACTAGTATATTTAATAGGAGCAGCAACAAACAACTCTGTTATACTTTTGTGAATGTCAACTAGCTCTAGTCATGGCACACATATACATTGTATGCCCCCAGACCTTAAACAAGTGTCCTCTAACTGTGACTGTGAGAAAGAATGGAACGGCAATACTGCAGTGCCAGACACGGTTTTGCTAATTATATAACAATACTTTGTTTAATGTAGCTATTTTTCTCTTTCTAGCAGTCATAGTAAGTATTATACCACTCATGCATAATCTCTTGCTGGTGGTCATTTTTGAAGTGCAACATGCTTCAATTCAAAATAAACAACTTTAGGCTAGTTTGAGAATTGGCATACTTCAATGTCAAAATAATTTTTTTGCCATGTATAAATCATTACACAATTAGTTACAAAACCACATTTTTATGATAAATCATACTATATTATTATCATTGTCTATTTAGTAAAAATTACAGCCATATATTGTTTTTGACTTACAATATGTGATGGTATTGCAGGAAATGCGTATGTCAGTGAGTGTTTCAGTTTTGTATTTGATATTTTTTTTTTAAATTGGGACATGGATTAAGTTTAAACTTGCAGTAATTCACTCGCTCACTCACAGACGGACGGACAAGTCTATTTTTGTCTCATGTATTTATTGTGTAAATTCCAATATTACACACATGCTAGTTGAATAAAAAAAAAAGCATCTTGTCAGAAAAAAAGTCTAGTTTCAAGATTTTGTAAATAACATACTCTTACAAAACAAAAACAATTATAACACAAGAAGTTCTGGTCCGACATGATTTAATTGGCTTTTTCAATCAGTTTATTAATTTAAGTTAAATCAATCAAATTATGGGTAGTACTTTTGAAAACTTATTTACAATAGCATTCACTGCTTTCTACAGAGCACTGAAACCTGCATGTGGTAGATTTTCAATGAAATGTACCAGAAGCCTATTAAAAGTACCACAGTCAGAGTTTGGAAACAAACAATGGGTTTTACATGCACAGTGTCAGAAATATTGGGGCAGCCAATTTGCAAACTCTCTAGCAAATTGGCTAACTGTTTGTGTTTTGGCTAAACAGTTGGCTTTCTAATCTCGCTGGTGCCGACTCGTGGTCGCGTTCACTCTGGGCGAGTCTATAATGCATTGGGGAGCATAGAATGCTTTTACATAGCCTGGTACATGTCTGAATTCCCTTGAATGATTTGCTTTGTTACGCGAGGCGTGATACTGTAAAAGTAGTTTCCCTGGTCAGCCTGAGAATAGCCACAGTCAGTTGGCATATAAGTGATACAAATGTAATATGATAAATGTGATTAATTAACTGATATTTATTATATGGGCGCAGCCATCTTGAACACTGCTTGAAACGACAGATTCCTGCAAATCAGGAAGGAAATAAAAACATTAAGCCAACCACTAAAAAAATTTGACCTCGTTTTTGTGTGGACAATCCCTTGTATACCGACACCTCATTACACAAAGAATATAGAACATTTTCCCCGGTATATATGAAAGCGAAATCACCATCCAACTTTAAGACCGACGCTGATTAGCTCCCATAGTATGATGACCGTCCCCTACTGGTATATAGATTCACCCAGAGTGGGCGCGACCACAAGTCAGCGCCAGTGAGATTCGAAAGCCAACTGTTTAGTCAAAACCAAAGCAGTTAGCCAATTTGCAAATTGGCTGACACAATACTTCTGAGACTTGCTGTAATTCAAACACGATATGCTGCTGCAACGACTGTGACACTGTCTTGGGACGAGTTTTTAAAATGCTGATCCACTTGACCAAAAAGCACATATACTTGTAAATATTAGGAAATATCAGTATTTATAAATAATAAACATGTACTAATCAGTTCCCTTGTATTTTACATACAAATACATCAACAGTTGTATGTGGGAGGCAAGATTTTGTTAATAAAAAATACATATATAAGCACCCCTCATATTTGCCTTCAGAATTTCAGTAAGCCTATTTTTTACTTTGATCTGGTTCAGGAGAAATAAAACATCATTATTGCAGGAAAGTAAATAATGTCAAAAAAATAATTATTGTGCTTAATGTTACTCAAAATAAGCGACATAAATATATTATCGATATATTTGATTGATCATATTGATATTTTTTAACACATGAATACTTTTTCAGTGTCTGTTAAGCTGCCTACTTCACTACAAAAAGCTGTACACATAATTGTACATCATGTAAAATTAAAATACAACATGTATCAAGATATTGGAATAGAAATTAAATATTTTCAACAGTAATAGTAACAATCCTAAATGCAGAAACTATCTTACACACAATAAGAATCATTCTTATTTCAAAAATAAAATAAGAAAGCTTGCTCTAAACATATATTTAAAAAAATAGCTTATTGGTTGCTTGACTTCAATACTAAGATCAAATTTAATTGGTCAATAATGACATGCACCTGGCTCAGCAACCAATCAAAAATCTGTATGCAAATTTAATTTAATTTTTTTTTTACAGACTGATAATATACACACAATTTGGTGACAGTTTTGAAAAACAATTACTGCCGTTATCTGTAACTAATTTAAATTAACAGTGTCTAGATAGGATTCGTTTGGTTCATCATATACAGACAATAACAGCACATTTAGTCTGATTCTGGTTCGGTATCCGATTCCACGCTATCAATGTCTTCGTCATCGCTCTCGTCTGTCGTATCATCACCGACTGGTTCACCGGTGAGTGCAATTCTGGCATAGTCATCAGTGTCAATTGATTTGCAAAAATGGATGGCATATTTTAATTTCTCTCGCAGCACTTCTCTGCAAGAATACCGGGGCATTTTAAGCAAGAAGAAACAAGTGTAGGATTCTGGCAAGAAGTGATCTGGAGGGTTGTACTTGTCCAACACCTACAAGGGAATAAATAAATGAACACATTTTGGATTACCATATTGTTGAAGTATTCTGACAAAGTCCATTATCAAAAGTTACTATTTAACAGTGTGATGAGAGCAATAACCTTCTATGTTAATAGCTGAACATACCTGAAGGACAAAGTCCCTGCCTCTGAAATCAGCGATTGTACGTGGCAAGCGAGTTCTCCCCCAAACAAATCTTAGAAATAGAGATCTCTCTGTGTTTGAAAACTCCTCCATGACTTCCCAGAACCATTGCACCAGTGGTGCCGTGGCATCTGTTCCTTTATAGGTGGCCACACTCTTCAGTAAATGTAAGGGAATATCTGGGCTACCGCAGATCTATAAACATAATCATAATACACCAATCACAAAATGTAAATTGAAGCATGTTATCAATTACTACCAATAGTGAGATAGTGACAGCGATTTAAAAAAAATACCCTTTTTAATCAGAATAGAAAGAGAATCTTATAGAATAGAATAGAGAATCTTATGGAACAGAATCTTGTAGAATCTAGAATACTGACCATTGTCTCCAGTTCGTATCCAGTAAACAGTGAAAGCAGTGGTACTGGTATCACTTTAGCCATGCCTTCTCTCACCCATTGCAGCTGATCATAGAACTCATGTAACCTATTAGAAAACACAGTATTTCATTTAGTAATTGAAGTCTGTCTTGACTTAATACAAGATGGATAGAATTCTTAACATACATGTACAGTACAATTGAGTGAAATTTACTGCTTCTATTTATAGTGTTGTAGCACATTGCTTGTGATTTATTTTTATTGTTAACTCACAAAGTGCAAAGTAAAAAAGGAAATTGTAGACTTGAGACTGAAGTCTATTGTGATACCTGTAATTAAGAGCAGCTCTGACATATTCATTCCGGTTTTCAAGATTGATCCGTGAATACTTTGAACTGAGTTGCATTTCTTGTCCACTGGCACTAGGGGTACTGAACGGCATCTCCATTTCACTAAAAACTTCAGATTCCATATCTCGGATACACATCAGACCTGTAAGATGTACAATCACATTCTTTAGTGTATTAACACATTGTCTGCTGTAAGCTTACACAGATAGCCACAGTGAATGTGAGAGGGTACACTGATTGACAGGACGCAAAACACAAATTTAAACAGCTTTGAACAATAAATTCCCACTGTCATCAAATAAGAAATGCAGCACACTGTCTGTAGTATCAGCGATTACAATACATTCCAATAAACTGATATCAATGAGACTAACCTGGTACATAATCTTTGTCAACCTCTGTCAAGTCAGACACTGTTAACGGCATGCCAGCTAATTGCTTCCACACAGGCTCTGCTAGGTTCAAACTAAGAGGACTGCCAGTACGAATAGCTATACCCATTAAAATACCTAACAAGTAAAATAACAATATCAAGTCATCAAATACTCGCATATGATATACTGAGAATGATAAATTCACCAAGCATTAAATATACATAAATTTAAGAATAAATTGAATTTAGAAAAATCTCTTGTGTAAAACATTAGATTCATTCATCTACACACTCACTCACTCACTCACTCACTCACTCACTCACTCACTCACTCACTCACTCACTTATTCATTCATGCATTCATTAGGATACTAACCTAGAAACTGAAGCAGTTTTTTGTGTATTTCTGATTTTAAGTGTGGATTAAGAAGGAAACAGTCTCTGTTAGCACCAGATTCATCACGCCCGTTTGGTGTCACAATCAGCAACGGTACAGAACCGTTCTGTAATTCGTCACACATTTCAGCAATAGATTCACTATATCCACCACCACAGTCATCTACACTCTCACCTGAAATAGCAAAACATTTTGAAAGTTAACATTTTTACCCTTTCACCACTATTGTCAAGTGTTCCTTGTATGCATTTTTTTTTTTTCAAAATTGACACTATAGAAAGATGCCTAGCTATGAAAGGGTTGCATATTCACTTAAAATTGCCCAGCTTACTAGTTAATGCTCATCTGTTTTAAAGCAATTATCATAAAATGGAATGCTATGCACAGAAATTGTGAGACGAGCTTGAGAAACTGTCACCTACTCACAGTTCGGTGAGAATTTTTATATAATTTTTCACCAATTTGTGAGGCAGGATTATCACAGTTTAGTTTGCGAGAATCCAAATTTGTTTAGCAAATTCTCACTGACAAATTGGTGAGAATATATATATTCCTGCCAAAGAAGAATACAGAAATTCAGATTGATATCAGTGAAATATAATGAATGCTTGTATTTGCAGTTATAATAATACTATTCCTTTCAAGCGCATCAATAAAACAGCGAGTCAGACATACCTATAAATTTGACTTTCCATACTCGATGTGGTAGAAGTAGACTATCAGAAGCAAAGTTACTAAGTTTGAAACAAGCTTGTCCAAATACTGATTTGGTGCCATCTGGACCGGCCATGCCACCTTTACTACGTGATCTCTTCACCTGTATTCTGTTTAGTTCAATCACAGGACCATGCTGTCTGTCACGAATCATAGTTGCTTGCACTACTTTTCGGAATGCAGCCTCCTATAAAACAGAATCACATGTCAAAGGAAATATTGAATGTATAATCCTGGGTAATCTAGGTACTGACCACAAATTTGACATCAATTTGAGAATGTATATTATGATCAATGGAGGGCACCTCATGCTAACAATACTGATTTTTCAGCCAGTCCAAGGCAAACAGTAGTTGCTTAGCAACCGAATTGTATGTGGCACAACTATATCACTATTGTGTCACTGTAAGTTTCATAAAGTGGCCATGGAAACTACACACACAAGAACGTTAAGAACACGGGCCAAGCCAGCTCCATATTTGCTTCAATATTTACCTTTCCACTTGAGACCAGCAATGATCTGAGTGCATCCATACCAACAGATGGGCCTCCATCAGAATCCTCTGCTTTTCCTTGCAGATCAAACATGGGTATACACGGGCAGAAGAGTTCAGAGAAATTATGAAGCAAGACTAGTCGGTTACGCAGCACAGAAATACCGATGTCCTGCAATAAGTTGTATTCCATTGGCACTTTACATGGCAGTTTACTGGCATTGACTGGTTTACTGGTTGACCAGGCCAGACTGTGAGCTGAGCCACATGCCACATGAGTGATCTTCTTGCCTACAAAAGAAAACATGTAGAATGTTCACACATGATAATCTATGTGAATATGTATGAATGGAAAACACTCCAGATGATGGATGTTAGAAACTACACACCGAGATAGCAGCAGGAGAAATGATTCCATGATATATTACCGTAAAATCTGTATTAGAAGCCGCATCTCTAATATAAGTCGCACCCATTCTTTTTGAACAATTTAGAACCAAACATTTACCATTCCTCATATGTGTAGATGCTCTAATAGAAGCCGCATCCCCTCTGTTGCATTGTATCATTTTAATAGAAGCCGCAGCTTCTAATACAGATTTTACAGTATTAGTTATGATATCCAACAGAGTTGGCTCTGTCCAGTTTGAATAATGAAGGTTTTATGAAAGATCAAATGGTCAGCAGTTGAAATTAGCATTTATTATTCATATGATTTTATTTTAAAGTGTACAATGAATATAATGAAAGCTTGGATTGACAGAATAGATGTAGTACTAACCTTGTAAAGCAGTAACCAATCTTGGTCTCTGTATTGCATTAGTTGTTCCATCACCTAGCTGACCTTCATCGTTGTCACCCCAAGTATAGACTTCACCTAGTAACAACAATTATGTTAGGTTTCACTGGATCATGGCTGAATACTGACTACTGTAAAATACTTTATTTTAGCTGTAATTAATTTTCACTGAAAAGACTTTTGGTCTGTTTTGTATGGAATTTATTTTCACTGATTTTTGACGAGTTGAATGTAAAGTATAGGAAAAAAGGGTATATTCGCTGGATTTTATTTTGACTGGATCATTCCTTAAACAAAAATAGTGAAAATTAATTCCAAACGAAAATAAAGTATTTTACAGTATAACATACAAACACATCAAACTAATGGATTTCTCTGTTTTAGGTTTCCCTCTGAAATGTATCAACCCTTTACATGTGATGTCACAAGTACACCACCATATAATGTTTTACATTTATTTGTGTCTATAGAAACATTTGATGAGGTAAAGAGCCAATGGTAAATGGTGAAAAATCATCTGACAATAGAATTCATCTGTTTACATCAAACACACAAGCACTATAGCATATGACGGTAATAGAGTTCCATCACTAATTGCAAATGTTCACACAGTACAAACCTTTTTCAAAGCTATTTCGGGCTGTTATCTCATTAAATTATCGTTGCAAGTAGAGAAAAGATATATAATAATAAGGTTATCACAAGAATACGTTTCAGGCTTACTGCCTTTGTGCATACTTTGCAGTATTCTCTTAATAACCACAAAGTATTTAGAGTTTGTACGCAATTAAGACAATCCAGTCATAACCTTGCATGTCCAAGATACATACTATAAACTATGTTCCCAGAATGTAACTTTACCTTGATCAGTGACGGCAACACAGTGAAGAGATCCTGTGGCAATATGGAAGATTTTCTTTCCTTGTAAAGCAGCTACTTTGCGGGGTCTCCTCACATGGTCGTCTGTTCCATGGCCTAGTCTATGGTAGTCACCCTTGCCCCTGTACAAACATTACATATGTAGATTTAAGTAAATGTACACTGCACAATGACATGCTAGTTTAGTACTCTCAATAGTGTAAAACTTGATCAATTTGAAGTCAAAACATGGTAGTTCCATTCACTATATATTTCTATGTATTTCCTGGTAATTCGACATAAAATTTTCAATGAAATGAAACAGTTCTATAAGGGCCCAAAATCAAAGATGATGAGGGCCAAAGCCCTCAGTAAAATCACATGCATGCCAGGATAACAGAGAAATGGTCGTTCAAATCTCCCAAAATTTCAACAATTTAGTGGTTCTCATTTTGGGGTACAACAAAGAACTTGAAGTCAATTAGTGGTCATGTTCCTATACAAGTCTTACCATGTGTAAACAGCACCAGACTTTGATAATGCTACAGAGAACTGAGATCCACACTCTACTTTACATATGCCCAGTCCTACCAATGATTCAATTCTCTGTGGGGTTTTACATCCATCACTGCCACCACGACCTAGTTTACCGTAATCTCCATCACCCCATGACCATACACAATCATCGTCCGTTAGACATAGTGTCTGGGCATCACCGCTACCGCAAGCGACATCAGTTACTCGATAATCTTTCAAAGCTTCCACCTACAATGAATTCAGACATTGCATTAACCTGAAATTGTGTGTGCCAGGAATCCAATATTTGAGAAGCTCTCTCATCTTGGGACAAGAAAAGGTCACACAATCACTATCAATTTTGTCTGCATAAAGATATTACACAGTAAATACTACTACTATACTTGTAGTATGATTTCTAGCTTCAATGCCTTAAATTTCACATGAATTGCAATACATGTCTCAACACATTGCCTGCTAACATTGTTTGATGTGTTAAAATAGTTACATTCAGGTTATTTTAAAGTCCAATGAAACTAGCATTGATCTTTGCTGAGCTAGTTCAAGATGGCCAGTACTAGAAATAAAACATTGAATATGGATGTAAGTTCCCTTGCACAAGGAGATTATTGGGCATATGTTCTCCAGACCTGCACTGTAGCACAAATGCACATATTCGATCAGTAATAATAACTACTCATATAGAAGTGATTCTTATAGTTAACTGGTGCTGAGGGAGCATGGGTATTATTCTTTATGGACTGGATACGGCTTTTGCGGCCCAAGGTCGTGCGGCGGAAGCGCCCGAGCTTGCTAGGGTGCGTAAGCCGTACGATCGAGGGCAGCAAAACCCGTATACAGTTCATAAAGGTTTTATCATATACCTTATATGAAGAAAAAAAGTCCTTAGTTGTGTTATTATTTGCTCATCTGGCCCCCAAAAAAACGTACCGGGGGTATTTGATTTAATCCGGGTTTTGATACAGGCCTTTTTACTGGTGCGGATTTATACGAGGGATTCTAAACGACGCAAATGCGTCAACAACTCTCGCACAATCCACAAACAAATGTCGCCAATTATATACACAAATTACATTTTAATGAAACAGCAAATGAACGTAAATTTATAACAATATTTCAACAGTAATAAATACGAAAACTGTAGTCGGTGAATGAGAAACAATTGCTTGACAAGAATCAGTTTGGTTTACAGTTCTAGATTCCGGCGTAGCTCAACTAAGAATATCTGAAATGCGCCGATGATCTTCCGTGGAGACAATATCGTAGCGCTATAAACTTGACACGTTTTTGTGACCAGTTATCTTTATGATTGGTTGTGGTGGAATGCCGGCTTTCATCAGGGTACTAATGAGTCCAACTGGTCTTTCGGTATATATATCCCATTCAGTGAATAATATCATCAGCCAATATTGAAGCGCAGACAATAATCTCACATGTGTTGTTTGTAAACAGAAAGTAGTTCTAGGAAATAGACGCGTTTACCAACTATGGTAAACAGAGCCCGGGCGTGATATGAAAAATTATTGCACGGCTCGCCCACCAGGATTCTCATAGCGTTATGAGGCTGGGCAATACAAGGTATATGATAATTCATATATACTCACTAGTTTAGGACGAGGCTGGTCCTCGCTATCTCCATGCCCCAAACGTCCATACCTTCCTTTTCCCCATGTATAGAGTTCACCATTAGATGTGATACAAGCGCTATGGGCACCACCAGCTGCCACATCAACGACCTCCTTACCTCGCAGGGAATCCAAAACTAGTGGTCGATCACAATGGCTAGGTGTGAAAGAACTGTATAGTTCAAAAAACATTACTTGAAAAAAAGCAAGCAGGGGATAGGATAGGGTGAACATGCATGGTTAAGGTTATGTGGCAATAAAACAATGCAGAATTTGATTAAGGGATCGGAATATCAAAGATATATCAAGAAGCTAGGGATGTCCATGCAAATTGAATGAGATTGATTAGGAAGCTAAGGATGTCTAGATGCAAATGAGAATAATCAAAAGGTTAGGAATGTACATGCTATAATGAGATTGATTAGGAAGCTAAGGATGTCCATGCTAATATGAGATTTATTACGAAGCTAAGGGGAATATGTACAAAGAGAACATAATAGCTACTTCTCAGAAAGATGTGAGAAATAGTTAGTGCATTATCAAATTAGTTCATGAGCATGAATTGAATTCAAGTAAATTAGGACAGACAGATTTTACGTTGTAACACACAAATACTAGTTTTATACAACAAGATAGATATCATAGACAATCTTTAGTAAAACCAATTATAATGCCATAATAAGAGCACAACAGCAAGCTGATGATAAACGATATATATAGGAGGTGTTGATCATGGGATGTTCATAGGGTTTGTTTGAACTGTTTCTTGTATTTATTTTTCTCTTGGTAAAAAGTCCTCAGATACATGTTTCTGCCCTATGACATGAAAGAAAGAAACATCACAAGTTATTTTCCACATGAGAGCTGAATGATTGCTGACAGGATACTCACGATCTGATTCCATGTCCTAACTTGCCATCTTCTGCCTCACCCCAAGTATACACTTCCCCTTCATGAGACAGAGCTAAGCAGTGTTTACCGCCAGAGTTAACAGCTACTTTCTTGATAACTACATGTTGTATAGATACCAAGAGTGTAGGAGTGGATACAGAGTCTGTCCCTCCTGTACCAAGTCGTCCACCAGCACCATAACCAGTTGCATACACCTAAAGTGTAAATGTATGTGATTATATTTATGCTTCTACAAGTAGTATTTGTCACCTGAATCTGACTATTTGCCCATATTTGAAGAACATTCTCTGTGTTCTTTGAACGCCAAAGGCAACTTTTGATACCATTCAAAAAATAAACCAATGAGAAATTAGATCCATTTTGTCCAACAAAATAACTTTCTTTTTAAATGCACGATGAATGAAAAATCATTTCTGGATATTTTTGTCTTAGATGCTAATACAATGCATGTGCAAACCGATCTCCCAAACATAGTAATGTGTGTTTGGAAAGCAGGATAGACTGTACTCTTGTTTTATACTGCTGAGTAAACAGTTGGGATCTGGAAAACGAACCCATAACCTCCCCAGTGTGAGGTGAACATACCAACCACTGTACCATTTAAATTAGGAACATTACCTTTCCATCTGCAGTAACACAGAATAATGTCTGTTCTCCTCCCACTATCTGTATTGGTCTTAGAGTGGACAAAGCTTCACAGGGCGATGGTAATTTGACCTTAGCACCATCTACACCACCTAACTGTCCTCTGTGATTATGTCCCCAACCAAAAATAGTTCCACTACCTCCCCAAGATAGCGTCCAATCATCAGCTCTCCTATGAATACAAATAACTTAGTATTAACAGATGACATACCAATTTCTTTTCTTAACACTGGGTTCGGAGCTGGGATATATATCAAGTACTAATTTAGTGGACAGCAAACAAGACAACTCAATTCAGAATGTACCAAAATTTCAATATAAGAATGTTTTGATAGCCATTTTGTCAATTTTGAGAGTTTTTTGTCATTGATTCTTATTTCCTCACATTTCAACAGTGAGATATTTGAGTCATGGATATTAAATAACAGTCCTACAGAATCACATGCAAATTATTTCTACTAGTCTTGGCATATCATGTGAATGTCAAATCTTGTTATAAATATAAAGAATTGAGCAGATACTGTGTTACAGCAATGTGAATATCCTGACTCACCGGTTCATCCAGAGTAATAATTGTTCATCATGCTCTTTTTGAAATATGTGATGGTTTTCATGATCCTTAGATATGTCCTCTCCATCTGCTGATATCTCCTTGATTTTCTTCATTACCTCTTCCAAGAAGCTGTACGGCAGAGGAGTACGCCTCTCAAGAGACTGTGCTACCCGGGCTGCCGTACAGTAACGCCGGAACCAAGACCAGCGATGAGACATGGCACAACATGCTAAGGCATCCAATCGCAAATCACATGCAAGGGCTACCAGTACCTGTAAGACGGTTATGGACCACAATTATGTACATTATAAAGGTTGTTTCTATGATCAAAATAAGTAAAAAATTTAATGATACTGCATACAAATGTGATTTTTGGTTTATATGCTTTATTTGGGATGTGCTTTAATGGTGCAAATATGGTGCATGTACTATGAGAATACAGAATATTTATCAAATTGTTGTGCATCCAATCTAGTATTCTTGGTACATATTACACACCAATAAACCAAAATGTGGCATGGGAGCTGAAAATAATTGTGCTAATAAAATGTCCTTAAAACAGTGTAGATTGGTAAAGTTATAATTGACTCTTCTGGGTTGGATTTGTGTAAGTGATAGACAAGTGAATGTATAACTCTTCTCAATTACAAAAAAATGTACGAACAACTGTCATTACTTCAATCAAGGTAATCACTGCCACTGAGATAGATCTACCACTGAAGATGAATCAATTACATTACTAACCTTAAAGAATGGGCTGTGTAACAAGTGTTTACCACCTCTGACCACAGGATCTTCATAGTCATACTGTCTCTGTAATGCTTCTGGTAATCCCTTGACAAGAGCTGCCAGTGCTGTACCGCTGAATGACTGAAACAATTGGACATTTGTTTAATAACAGCAAACAGCAGAGCATATAACATTAGTGTACTGAATAAAACTATTAACATAGGTAAGATTTGAAAATTACGAAAAATTAAAAAAAAAGAATACTTTCTCCAGTGTTACAAAAAACAACATAATTTTAACCCCTATACAATGAGCCATTAGAATGGCTTCTCAAATCTCAGACTAGTTGTATTACTAGTCTGAGCTCAAATAGATTATAGTCAAATATTGCATGTTAATGTGCATAACAAAATGACAACTAATAGATCTTGGGTGCAAATTGCTCCCAAGATATTGTTTAGAACAAAAGCCATGCAACTTGTTTATGTACTTCATTTGCACCCATCATGTCTACTGTTCCTAACTATTATCACACATGATCAATGGTACAGTGAATGCAATGACAAAGAAACATGTCTAGTGTTCTCTCGGTCCCAACAAGATCACGTCTGCCATTGTACAGACAATACACAATGTTTGAAAAATACTATTAAAAACAAAATTAATGAAATAATGCGAGTTAGACTTACTGTCATGGGGTGAGGCAATTCATCACTCATATCATGTCCACCAATTATGGCGTCTACATTCAATGCCGCTCCATATTCAGTATTTATCAGTTTACGTAATCTCTGCAATGCCCACATACGTTGAGATGCTCCTGAAAAACACAGCAAAACAAGATACGAGTTTGATTATTCATGATATTAACAGCAAGGCTCATTAAAAGTACTTTACTAATGCCTGTTTTGTAGAGAGACGCTTTCACTATTATTATTCATTATTAGTGATAAATAATAACAGTCAACAACAATACATCTTTTATAAAATTTAAGGCAAGGTAAAAATTACATTTGACTATCTGCTGGAAGTGCTTCTTTCATTCAATCTCAACCTGTACCAAGAGCCAGAACTATGCATTATACATGTAGATGTATAAATATATGTATAAAGGTTTTGAGTAAAATTCTCTATCCTCTATTTACAGAGAATCTTTAATAGTCATTGTCTATTTTTAAAAGCTTGTGGAAGGAATTTTTGTCTTTACAATTTTTTGTCAGAAAATATAATTTAAAAAATTTAATGCAATAATTTAATGCATTCGTTTTGTTCTTCTAATCTCATGTACCGATAATACTTTTTTGTTACACTCAATTTTCATGAAAAAACCTGAAGTTTAAATTAAAATAAAGATTAAATCAATTTAAATTCATGATAACTGCACAGACAATCAGAACACTGACTCATTTAACTATCATACTGTTCCGCATCAACACTGTGTAATGTTAATATAATGAAGATATCATAACATTAAATACTAACCAAGTGAGCTAAGCTGAGCACACGCTGCTAACGCCGCTGCCAACCTTGGCATGATACGATGACTGTTGGCACTTTCTAAACGGATATCCAACAGGCATGTAACCAAGTCGATAGATGGCCGAGACAACACAGATCTATCTGATAAAAGATCTTTCGGAGCTGCGGCCGGCATGATTGGGAAGACAGTGAACCGCCATCCCCAGCCGTTAACTGAACCGTCACTGGTAAACTTCCATTTCAACTCATCGCAGGGGATTCTTAATTCCTGGGACCAATCAGACCACTCTCGGCCTAAGTAAAGATTATATTATGAGAGGTTGAGATACAGATAAACAGACAACTAAAGACCACTTTACAGATATCGATCAGATTTATTGACAAAACTGCATCTAATTTATTTGATCAGCTTCATTTGATGAAATTAAACATGTCCAAGTTAAAAAAAAAAAAAAAATCACTGATCAGATTGTGCAGAATACAAAATCAAATCATGTAAACCACACTTTTGATTTCACATGCTGTTTTTTAAGATAAAGATTCACTTTATTCACTAGAATGACATTTCACACTGACCTGATCTCACTGACACTACTCTGCCCGCACCGTCCATGATTGTTAAGGGGTCATGTCTTCTTTCGGTTGAGCATTGACGATCAAACTCAATTCTCAGGGCTTCAGCTCCTATGACAAAACCACATAAAACAAGTTTCAATGCAAGCTTATACACAGACAAAAACTTCATTCTAATAGTGTACTATATCACATAACTAGAAAGTATATAAAATATAAATGAAAACCATTATATATAAATACATAAAATAGCCCTGAAAGAATCTAAAGTTGAGGGATATGATAAAATATCAAGATAAGTAAGCAAAAAACAGATTTTCAGATGTAATGTTAAACACAAGGAGTATAGGTCAAACAAATAAATTTTTTCCATGTATTGAGTAATCTTTATAAATATCATCATGGTGTCATTAATAAACCTAAATCCTTGTCAGATCACTGGAAACCAGAGGGAGTGAATTAGACGGAAAGAGGAATACATCTTACCAGGTATTTTGACTTGTCCAGATGTTGATATATCATCTACATAAGGATGACTACTTTCCTGTACTACAGGCTGCATAGCTGTCCTACCACTCTCTGTATCTGTGGCAACATCTTCCAGCTCAGTCACACATAACTCTAAAAGCATGTCAGCAACCTGTGAATAATAAACACATGAGTATTTCAAGTGGAGAACTTCATACCAGTATGTACGGTGACATGTTTGTATCTCGAAGCATGCACGAGTGGATATGGAGAATTCAATTTGTCATTGTTTTATCATTACTGATTCAACAAATTATTACAAGATAAGCAGTGATCCAGTAAATAAATTTCATTAAAGTCGGTCCCCATAATATAAACCTAAATAAAATGTTTATTTTCAAAAGTTCAGCCAAAAAACTGAAAGTGAGTCCATGTAATTGGAACCACAGTGAAATGTTTACAACATTTTGTGATTTCCGAGACTTCCAATTCAAGTATACACAGAATGTTTGGTTTACAATTACAATTGAGTACAATGTAAATGCTGTAATTGTATTTGAAGAAGCTCACAATTCTATAATAAATCAGTGACATATTTGTTGATTGTTGTAATCCTGTAGTAGTGTTATTTGTTGTACTTCAAGCATGCCATATAAATGACATGTTCATCACTTACCTGGGGATACGTCTTTCCAAGTGCTGTCAACACAGATGACAAAGCTTCCTTGCCATGTGGTCCAGCTCTATCAGCTACGGCTAGTTTGAGAAGATCCACAAGAACCCTGGCATCATCAGATCCTAATTTAGATGTGAATTCATCCAGTCCTTGTATTGTTGGTGGCTCTGAATCATCAGGACTTGTCACCTGCAACACACAATATCAAACATAAATTTGTTTTAAACATAGAGCTAACAAGATGCTAGATACTATAAAATTTGCTACAATGAGTTGAATCCATCACTCTGATCTCTAGTTCTCAAGTGAGCAGCATGTGTGAGCCAAAGCTATCCAGTCTGTCTGTATGTGAAAACTCACAGTGACCGACTGTATCAAAATAGGTGAAATCAAGTCGAGGGTTGTACGTGATCTAGCAGTCAAAGAAAAGCTGATAAAATTAGTTTTCGAAGTTGACCAAGAGGCAAACTGAACAGAAAATGTGTGAAATTATCTAACAACGTTGACATCGATAAAGCTGTGATGTTTTTTTTTATTGACACAAACGTACTATAGGGGTAAATAAACCTATGTTATGCTTTTTATCTATTTTCAATGATTGAATGCCACTTTCACGAGGCCCCTCGGTAAGCTGTTACACCCAATATGTCAAGTTTTTTGCTTGGATCCCGACACCCGTGACTTAGCAAGGGGTCACTGCATAACTGCATGATATTGTAATTCTTGTATTCAATAGTTAGATTGCTCTTCGAGATAAGCCACCTGATTTTTGCGAAAACAATATATTCATTTCATCCTCAAAGATCCAACAGGAAACAAGAGTTAGAAAAAGACCTGTATTGTAACAGTGATGTATACAATCTGATACATGTCTACTAACCTGCTCTGTAGTAGTGATGGTTTCTGGTACAATAGTAGATGATTTAAGAGAACTGGATTTACTGGGCAAGCCATCAGCTGGTGATTGGACTTCAGATGATGGTGTAGGTGGCTCACTCATCTCAATAGTTACGTCACCGATATCAAGTGGAGTAGTTGGCACTGTACGAGCGCTCTCACTGCTGGGTGTAGTAGATGATGGCTGCGGTGGTATTTCATTTTGCAGAGCAATTACAATGGCATATCTATGAATAGATTTCATTCTATGTTTTAGACATGGTTTTGGGATAAAACTTCCAGTTTAATTCACAAGCATTTGACTCTTACAAGGTGGTTTACTAGGACATCTAAAGAGGCACCTATTGATCCCTGGGAGTGCATCTGAGAATTGTTTGTGTTGTTTACATTATTAATCTATTTTTTGTTTTGCTTAATTGTAATTTGTATTAGTAAATTTGAGATTAGGCTTAAATGAAGGTGCCCCTTTACAATAGGGGAAATTAAACATAGTAGAGGAACCAACTAGATATAAAACACTGTGGTATGTATGTATTCACATGTACCTTGCAAACACCAGACTGTGAGCATGAACATGCTCTACAGTACTTTGAATTGAACCATTACACAAGCCACATGAACAATACAGCAAAAAGCAGTTGAAGAATCGAGATATCATGATTGGGAAAGGCTGATGGAATTACATGAATTATGCATGCATCTGAATGATGTAGTACAATTTGCATACAGCTCATCTGTATGGAGGGTCAAATGACACATGTGTATGTTCGATTGTCTTGTCTCACCATTTCCTAATCTCTGTCAAATACTTGTAATCCATCCCCAAAACTACAAATTGGTCAAGTTCATTTACTCATTTTTTACCTCAAAGACAGTACATTCCAATGTCAGTCTACTTTTGGGTGACTGCATGACATGGGATTGGATTCTACCTGTAACTCACATTGATACGCTGCAGGAAAATTTCAGGTGAGTGATGGCACAGTGGATTGTAACAGTTCCTCAGGTCTTATGATCCTTGCTTGAAAAGCATTTGGCATTTTACAATCGCATCACAGCATTCGATTAAATCATAAAAGTTAACAAAAAAAGCCATTAGACCAGAGGGACTACAAGCAATGTAAAGTAATTAAATTATAATAATCTTACCGTGCATATATAATCTGCAATGCAGTCAGGATATGCGTTAACGCTTGCTGTTTTGCAGTGCTGGTCTCAAGAGATAATACTATCTTTGCCAACGATGGTCTTTGTTTAGACTGTGATCTGACGTTAGAAGATCCACCTGACTGGTTATTATTACCTTCTGTTATACCTATATATATCCAAACAACAATATTTTGGTAAATCTTAAAACATGTACACATATCACCTTCTGGGAATATACTTTTTTCGAATTTATATTTCACTATTCCAATGTTAATTTTGAGTCAGACAAACATACTGTTATGCTGAGTACCGGTACATGTTTTACAAATGTATCGCCAAATGATCTCTTCATACATGGATCTGGGAGCTACCAATGTGTTCAGTGAGGTAGGTCATCTATTATTAAAAGCATACATACATGCATATACATGGCAGGTTGCAAAATCCTAGAAAAAAGTAAGATGTTTCGTGATTGGCTCACCAGTTAGATGTTTGCATCACATAGCTAATCAGCACTACTCTTGCATTGAAGCCACTTTCTAATTCACTGTGTCAACTCACCTACTGAAGAAGCCCCCAGTGAATCCCTGGGAGTTGTAAATAATACAGGTTCATGTACAGATGGAAGGCTGGTATCAGTAGTAGACCATGCTATGCTGTGAGAAGAACCACATGCAACTTTAGTTATCTTCACACCTTCCAATCCATGGACCAATGCTGGTTTCTTATTGACAGTAGTCATACCGTTGCCTTGCTGCCCGTGGTCGTTATCGCCCCATGCATACACCTATGAGACAAATTGAGAGTACATCAATAAAACATCAACCGTCAACAGAGAGAGAGAAGAATTTGAGAGTATGCATTGTAAATATTAGTGAATATGTAATTTTTAAAAACATACAAAAGAATTTAAAACCTCCACAGTATACGAATACCGGATTCTGCTGTAAATTCCCCCATCCGAAAAATCGCCCTGGGCGGTTTCACGGCTGGTGGGCCCTTATTTGGGATTCAAAATTTCAAAAATTGATCATAAAATATTTTGGGAGGGGCTTATATTTTCATTGAAAAATCCACCTTCGCCGATTTCTTGGTCCAATTGTAGTTTTTTTAAAAACCCGAACTGCCGTTCAGCGGCCCAGGGCGAATTTACGGCAGAATCCGGTACATGTATTACATATTTTTGCACATAATCTTATAAGTTCACAAAGTCAGTAGCAGAAAGGCTAATGTCAAATACAGCAATTAATCCGTTCCCATTTCATGCATTGTCAGATAGTATAGTACCATAAATCAGATTTGTCAGCAGCAGTTCGTAAGTCCAGCAATCCAACTCACCTGACCGTTGTCTGTGACTGCAAGGCAATGTAAAGCTCCTACAGCTACATGGACAATCTTCTTGCCTTTCAAACCTTCAACCACTTGGGGTTTTCTAACATGTGCATCTGATCCATGGCCCAATCTATAGTAGTCACCCTTACCCCTGTAATGAAATCATGCAATAAAAAAATTAAACCAACAGGCGAATAAAAAAAAACCTCATTTGAATTTAGTTAGGTAATAACTGGCTGTTAATGTGTTAAACAGCAGTGGTTGGAAAATACAATTTGAGCACCATTATCAAAGTGCAATGTCAGATTATTATGTAATATAAAATGAGCTCATCACAAAAATACCGCGAAGACAATACAGTGAACGCATCAACCAATGCTTAGCAGACGTTGGTGAGCAAGATAATAACAAGACACACCAACACACTTACCAACACCAACACACTTACCAGGTCCACACTTGTCCTGTCTTAGTTAATGCTAATGAAAACTGAGCCCCACATTCAATCTGTGTAACACCTTGTCCGTTCAACCTCTCTACATTATGGGGTGTGTTAACTCCCTCACTGCCTCCTCGGCCGAGTTTACCAAAATCACCATCACCCCAAGAAAACACCATGCCTTCATCCGTCAGTGCAAGTGTCTGGGCATCACGACTTCCACAGGCAACCTGGACCACTCTCTGACCTGATAGAGTTTTTACCTGAAAGCATGGATAATTCTCAGCATTATCTTGTCAGTAACGACAGGAGGGTGGGTGTGGTAAGTCTACATACAGTACAGTTCTCGCAAAAGCTTTAGCATTTGTGGCATCATTGTCGCCTCAGCATCGCATCATTGTGGCATCAGCTTCGCGTCATTGAAAATTGAAGCTGTGTTCGCCTCGCTTATTTTGTAGCATCATTGTGGCCTCAGCTTCGCAGTCTCATGGCATCAACATGGCATCAGCTTCAAAGTATTGTGACATGAGTATGACCTCATTATTTAACTACAATTGTTGATACAGAAATTCAAGCCATATTACCTGTTTCGGTTTGAGTTGTGTGGTATTGTCACCATGTCCCAGTCGGCCATATTCACCCAGTCCCCATGTGTACAGAGCACCATCTGATGTGATTGCAGCACTGTGCGAACTGCCACACGCAATGTCCCGTACTCTCTTCGTTTTCAACGCTTCAATCAGACGTGGTTTGTCACAGTTCCTGATGGGATCACAAGATTACATATTTATAATTATTGGTTGTTTTTACGTTTCCATATTCTGTGATAATTCAATTTATGTAAAAGACAAAAGTATGTCTGTGGTCACGATTCTGCATAAAATAAATGTAGTTTCTTGTTTATGTGCTTTTTAGAGATGCGCTTTTAATGGAAGAATTATGGTATAAGTTTTACCATCTAGGCTTAAGGAATGTGCAGTGTCACAGACTTTGTCAAAACAAGGCTATCTAATATCTTTGTATTTATAAGGGTTATAGCCAGCACTGTGTTAAGGGGTACACAAGCTCCCTAAGCCATCTGGTTTGATACACAATGTTTAAAATATAACTTACATGCGACTGAAATGTCCCAGTTTTCCATCATCTCCTTCACCCCATGAGAACACTTTACCATCAACTGTTAATGCCATAGCATGCCGTCCACCTGTCAACAAATCAACAATATTATAATATGCTAACAAGAACAAAGTGCACAACATGTATACATATAATTGCATAATTATAGTCTACACAGACTGTCTACACCGACTGTCCACACAGACTGACCGACTGTCCACACAGACTGACCGACTGTCCACACAGACTGACCGACTGTCTGCGCCGACTGACCGACTGTCTGCGCCGACTGTCTGCGCCGACTGTCTGCGCCGACTGTCTGCGCCGACTGTCTGCGCCGACTGTCTGCGCTGACTGTCCGCGCTGACTGTCCGCGCTGACTGTCTGCGCTGACTGTCTACGCTGACTGTCTACGCTGACTGTCTACGCTGACTGTCTACGCTGACTGTCTACGCTGACTGTCACACGCTGACTGTCCACGCTGACCGTCCATGCTGAACGTCCACGCTGACCGTCCACACAGACTCACCTGAATGTACTGCAACTTTTCTCACTACATACTGTGATAGTGAAGTGACTGGCTTTGGCATAGCTACATTCCCAGTAACTGGACCCAATCCCAGTCTACCATTAGTTGATTCACCGCATGCGTACATTTTACCTTCTTGTGTTACTGCAAATGAGATAAATTACAGAATGACATGTTAGTTTAACAAAGCTGTGTCAATAAATTATTCAACGATGCTGACAGATGTATTAAGTTGATTAAACTCAACAATTCATAGAGCTGACTACACTCAACAATTTATTAATTTGACGATGCTAACAAAAATGCCCAACAATTGTTTGTGTTATGCTTACTCAACAATTTGTTGTGTTTACTCCCGTAACATTATTTGACTCACCAATAAAAAGACTTTTAGATCCACCAGAAATCTGAACACATTTTATAGTTGATAGAGTGTCATTGAATCCTGGTATTTTAATCTGCAATATATGAAGAATGAAAAATTGTAAACAAGACAGACAGAGGATGAATTGATGAAAGTAAATGCTCATTTTCTTATGAATGCTTAGTGTACACAATGACCACTTACACTGAGTGCCTGTGAGATTAAGACACTATGACCCCCATGATGTGATCTGTATGAAAATGTTTTTATTTTTGAGCATGCATGTAATTTAGAAATCACCTATGGTAATTTGCAGTACTGGTGTCTCAATCTCACAGATGCTGACTGTAATTAATTCGCTTTTCGGGGTTTGGGATTACACTCAAAAGTACAAGTTTTTTCTGCAAATTAACAAGACTTTACATCATACTGCACTGTTCAAATGGATATAATGAATGTATGTGAATCTGTCAACCAGTTGATTTTGAATGTAAAAAGACTGAGCAGTCATTGTGGTAAACAAGCAGAACCAAATTCTCAGTGATAAGCAGTTGGAAAATAGTAAAGTTGATTCACCTTTGACCCCTTGGGACCACCTAATTGATCCTTATCATTCAGACCCCATACAAAGACTTTTGTTTGAATTTCATTGGCTGCAGCCAGTCCCAGTGATCGCTGTCTGAACGTAGTCCTATTGTTACTTCTCTCGTCATCTTCTTCATTGTCAGATGCAAGGAACGAAAAGCTAGCAGCGATGTCATCATCATCAGCTTTCATACGGCCTGTCATGTACACACCATGTACCTTGCAGTCTATACCGCTGCTTTTACACTGACGAATAGCTATCTCCATAAAGCGATGATACTGTGTAGGAAAACAAGGGTAGATGTCGTCAATATCAGTATTAAATAACACGTTTCAAATTGACACACACTGGTAATGATTAAGCAGCATGTTTCAATATAATGCTACAAAATAAATTAATGTTTTGGACTGTGTTTGATAAGTGTCCCATGTGATGCATACAATCAGTGAAAAATATATCAATTAATTCAAAAGAATGCTGCACGATGACTGAGTTTCTTTATTATTTCCACTTTCCAACATCTTAAGATATTAAAAGTAAATTACCTCAGTGACATCCTGTAGTAGAGTGACCAAGGACTCAGTGGGACCAATAGTGACTGTTTTTAACTCTCGTAGTGTAGATATACTGTCCCCACCTGATATCACTATTAGCGATGGTTGATAGCTACTGTCAGTGGGTTCCACAGTGATGCGTAATCTGTGTATCAATACATCAGAATGCATCTCCATACGGATCCAGTGCTGTAAAAGATTACATGTAATGAGGGCAATTTCACAGATATCTCAGAATACAGCTGGGTTAATTTACATGACATGATGAATTGCATATTATAAACTAACTAATCATTTCAACACTATCATTTTGGTGCAACATCTTTATGTATTTTGTGGACCAGATGGACATAATTTCCCATTAGCTACAGATTTGGATCAAAATTTAAGATTTCATTTTGTGAAAGGTGACTAAAGTTTAATTTTGTACTCAAAATGTTAAAGGTTAGTATGATGTAAGTCACTGTGAATCCATGATTATTAATAGTCAGTGTTTCATAATGTGTACCAGGGATGCATTCAAAAAGAAAAACATTGACAAGAGTTTTTCCATAGAATATTCTATTCTAATATAATCATATATCAAGTCCTTAAGCTTATACAAGTTACTTCCATAATTATGCAAATAAAAGGATGGCAAAAACTATGCAAATAGGAATGATGGCAAATAGAATTGTATATGCAAAATGGAAAAATAGTACCATACTGAGTGGGTGTGAGGTTGCATCATGATGGTACAAACTAATAAACCTCATCAAACATTAGCACTGTGTTTCTATTCCTTTACATATAAAGATACTCACCTTTCCTTGTGATCCGGATGACTGCCAGTATGTGGCTGGATTGCCATCAATTAGTCTAGATGCTTGGCTTTCCCTTGTTGATACGGATAAATGTTTTACACATCGATTCCATTCTTCTATCAGAGCACCTGCAGCATTAGTTTTCTTCTTACCTTTACCAGGACGCCCAGCATTCACAGGAGATGCACCTGTGGAGAGGTTTTGAAATGTACATGTTTCGATCATTCAAAGGTTGTGAAGGAACTGTACAGGCAGTTTGATGATATTAAGTAAAAAATTTACTATCGAAGTGTAAAGTTTTTTCAATGAACAAACGTTTCATAATCTCTGATATCACTCGAAAATTTACAATAACTACTAACATAGTAAGACTGGCCACTATGTAAGGTCTCCTTAAGATTGCAACACCATGACTTCCGTAATCTCACAACTGAATAATAATAGTTACTGTTACTAAATAGTCTTTTTGAAGTACTCACCTGGTTCTGCAATTCGATTAAACTGATGTCTGTGGTTCCTTCTCATTCGGAAACAGTTCTCACAGAAATCGAAATCATCGCACACCCGACACTTGTATCTGGGACCACTGATTGGGTACATATGACAGCCATCACAACTACAAGTGTTAGAAACAGACATGTGACATAATAAAAGAAACAATAAATCGACTAACTAAAATGCTTAAAGAGCTTTTCAACAGAACACTAACTGCTTCTAATCAGAAATAAGTTGTTCCAACATCTACTAATTGTCACCACTTTATATTGCCATAACATAGCACTATATTCTGTCCATAACGTATGGAGTACATTTGTGTAGCCTCCAATGTGTAAACACATTGACAACCTTAGCACTATATGCTGTCCATAACGTATTGAGTACAATTTGTGTTGCTTATTAACACATTGACAACCATAGCGAAACTGAACTGCAGAAGTAAATTTCCGCTTGCTGGAGTACAATGGCACTTAGATATAACGACATTTGATTGCTATGCTATGCGATATGACATACCCAAACTAGAACTATCTCTCAGGTGACAGACAGACAGAGAGATTGAATGTCATTGCAGTCTTTAGTGACATTTTTTTAGGTACGAATTACAAGTACAATTGCTGACCATACATATAATGCATACCATAATATTTTGTTTATCATAACTGAGACTAACAACCTGTATAAATCGGCAACAATACGCCCAATGCCAACTATCGCATCTTATGATATTCCACAAGACATGACCCACTCAGAGAGATTCAAGACCCAACCCACAATAACAAATAATGCTTGAAAAGGTTTCAAGCTGCTGCACTACACCTTATGTAAAGACATCGCTCTCACAGTGGAAGAGAAAAATAAAAATTTTAAAAGAAGAGAATACTGAGAAAAAATAAAAAATAGTTGAGGAATTGAAAAACAAACAGACAAGAAAATCAAGATACAGTAAAACCTGACTAAACAAATAGTTTTGTAATTATAATCCCTTGGGTTTAGACAGGTTTCACTGCCTGCGCTGTAGATAATAGTGAAGTAATGAAGTAAAGATGAGACAAGCTACAACAGCATGCAAAGTTATGCATGGTGGAACACAAAGGCACAGCAAATGGCAAAATGATATAGCTGGCTGGCTGGCAAAGCAGATTACGCTAATTCCTAAGTAGTAGCATAGTGTTTTTTGCCCAATTTTTTTAACCCACCATAAACATTATGAAATCATACCACAAAGAGGTCAATTTGTTTGAATTTGTTAGTTCACTGTATGCAGAACAGTGAGTGAAATGCACAACAAAGTAAATCTCATTTGCACTGGAATATATCATGCAAATTTTTTTGAACTTATTTAAAGAAACGCATGCATTTGTAAGAGAAATTATTAAACATAGTTGAAAATAGGTACAAAAAGCACTTACAATCTATCCGAGTGTGTCTGGTCAGACTTTTCTGATCCGGACTCCTCGCGCTGTGCCTTTGACTCCAGCACCGTAGAACGAAATCTATTGCTGCTGGCTTTTACAGCTACATTGAAAACAAAAGGAACAGACAAAGAGAAAAAAAAGAAAAGAAAAAAAACCACAATGATTTGCAAGGTGGTACAGGAAAAGGCACTTACGTGACACCAGGGTGATTGCTGGGCACCAGCTCCATTTCGGAGACTAGACCGATCCAGTGAGATTGCTGTGGAAAGTCCACGGTTATGTCCCGTCCATTAGCACTGATGGCTGAAAAGCAAAATAAAACAAATGCATGCACAAATGCAGGGACTTAATTTTAAAGTTGGTGTTTAAAAATAATAAAAAAAGCTACTTCTAGTTTCGGCTAGTTTGTAAGATTTTTATTGCTCAGAAAAATATGTGCCCCCACGTTTCAAGTCCATATCTTCAAAATTTAAATTGAATGCACCGCACTGTTAAGCCCCCTGGGTTAGTTTTAGTAAATAATCGATAAATAGTTCAGACAGAATTAGGGTCAGTTGTCAATCATACCATGGAGGTAAAAAATAAAGGAGAAAAAATCGAAAGAGCAGATATTGAGTCAGTACATCATGTTATTTTTTGTGTGCTTGAATTTTTGAATTTGGGTTCAGTGTTTAGAAAACATGACATTACAGAATTGACAGAGGTAGGTTTATTTCAGACTAGAAAACCCACTATATACATGTATGCATATGCAGGTAGGTATACCACATACTGTCACAAAGACAAAATATAGCTGCATAGCAGCGATGACGGGTTTCGAGCCTGCGTGGCTCATGACAAATTGCACTTGCTCGATGTGATTATTTGACGAACGTTTCATGTCTAGAATGCAAGATAGCAGACAAACTACACAACATATGGATTTGATTTCACAGGAATATGATAAACTTAATGCAAGGACAAATAGTTCATGAGTTATAGAACTTTTTCTCTTTTACTAAATCCAAGATGGCTGCCAAAGGAAGCCATTTTTAAAAATCTACTTCAGTAACTTTGTAGAGCTATCAACAGAGATACTATAAGCTAAATTGCTTTTCAAACAAGCAAGCAGTTTTTAACAAGATATTTTTTTGAGGTTTTTTGAATTTTTGTGATAAATTCAACATGGCCGCCAAAACCACTTGAATCATGGGAAATATTTCCATGACACATAATCAGCTCATTGAGCGGATGTTGTATGCCAAGTTTAGTTTAAATCTGGCA